GGGAGCCTGGTGCTGCTGCGTGGAGTCCTCATGGTGAGTCCTGGCTGCTTTCTGCTCCATAGGAAGGCCTTCTGCCAGCATCGTGTCATCTCCAATTCCTACTGTGAACACATGGCTGTGGTGAAGCTGGTATGTGAGGACACCAGTGCCAGTGCAGGCTATGGCATCTTTGTGGCTTTTGCAGTGACAGGAGTTGACCTTACAGTGATCGTTGTGTCCTACACTATGATCCTGCGAGTGGTACTGAAGCTGTCATCTTCAGACACTCAGATCAAGGCCTTTAACACATGTGTATCCCACGTCTGTATCATCCTTTGTTTTTATGTCCCTGTATTATTCACGTCTCTCACCCACCGGTTTGGACACAGCATCCCTCAGCACGTTCACATTTTGGTGGCCCACCTCTACATGCTGGTGCCCCCCACATTAAACCCCATCATTTATGGGGTCAGAACCAAACATCTCCGGGACAAGATAGTTGTCCTCTTCCAGTGGAGGGGAATCTGACACATCTGTGTGCCATCAACTGAGCCGATAAGTGTTTGGTAAGTCCGGTAAATTTTCAGTGTGAACGCTTTACCCTTTAGTTCGAGTCCTACGCTTTCTAAATGCACAGTGTACATGGAAAGCATTCCTGCAGATATTACTGGATTTTCTCTTCCTTTCATTGTGTAATGAAAGACAACAGAAAGAGTTCAGTCTGATTTTTGCATAACCCCTCCCAGAATACAGATTCCTGAATGTTAAAATTCTTTCACTAATCGGGCAAATAAAGATTCTTCCTATCTTAATATAGAATCATTGAATCATAGAATCACAAAGCTGGGAATGACCTGCAAGAACATGTAGTCCAACCGTCCTCCTATTGCCACTGCTATCTCAAGCACTAAACCATATCTCATAGCTCCCCATCCAGATGTTTCTTGAACACAGCCTAGGATGGCAATTCCACCACATGCCTGGGCAGCCATTCCAGTGTTTAACCACTCTCTGAGAGAAAAAGTTCTTCCTCACGTCTAGTCTAGACCTCCTCTGGTACAACTTGCAGCCATTTCCTCGGCTCCTGTTTGTTGCTTGGGAGAGGAGGCCAAAACCCTCCTCATCACAACCTCACTTCAGGAAGCTGTACAGTTCAATGAGGTCTCCCCTGAGCCTCCTCTTCTCCAGACTAAACAATCCCAGCTCCCTCAGCCGCTCCTCATAAGGCCTGTGCTCCAGACACCTCACCAGCTTGGTTGCCTTTCTTTGAACACACTCCAGGGCCTCAATGTCTTTCTTGCAGTGAGGGGCCCAAAACTCAACACAGCACTCAAGGTGCGGCCTCACCAGAGCTGAGTACAGGGGGATGATTACCTCTTTGCTCTGGCTGGCAACACTGTTTCTAACACAAGCCAGGATGCCATTGGTCCTCTTGGCCACCTGGCCACACTGCTGGCTCATGTTCAGCCGAGCATCAACCAACACCCCCAAGTCCATTTCCTCTACACAGTCTTCCAGCCATTCTGCCCCAAGCCTGTAGCGCTGCACTGGGTTATTGTGGCCAAAGTACAGGACACAGCACTTGGCTTTCTTGAACCTCATCCCATTCACCTCAGCCCAGCAATCCAGCTTATCTAGATCCCTCTGAAGAGCCTCCCTACCCACAGGCAAATCGACACCACCTCCCACCTTGGTGTCATCTGCAAACTTACTGAGGGTACACTCAATACCTTCATCTAGGTCATCAATAAAGACATTAAACAAAATGGCCCCAGTACCGACACCTGGGGGACACCACCTGAAACCAATCGCCAGCTGGACTTCACTCCATTAACCACTACCCGTTGGGCACGGCCCTCTAGCCAGTTTCTTACCCAAAGGAGCGTATACCTGTCCAGGCCACGGGCAGCCAGTTTCCCCAGAAGAATACTGTGAGAGACCATGTCAAAGGCTTTGCTGAAGTCTAGGTAGACTGCATCAACAGCCCTTCTCTCATCTACCAGTCTGGTCACCCAGTCGTAGAAGGAGATGAGGTTGGTCAAGCATGACCTGCCTTTCATGAACCCGTGCTGGCTGGGCCTGATCTCCCGGATGCCACGCACGTGCCATGTGATCTCACTCAAGATGATCTCCTCCATAGCTTTCCCTGGTACCGAGGTCAGGCTGACAGGCTGTAGTTCCTCGGATGAGTGGATGCTGAAGTGAGCTGAGAACTGGCTGACTGGCCTAGCTCAGAGGGTTGTGATCAGTGCTGCAGTGTCCAGTTGAAGGCCCACGACTAGCAGTGTACTCCGGGGGTCAGGGCTGTGTCTGGTCTTGTTCAATATATATTCATCTTCAACCTTGATGAGGGGATAAGTGTCCATCCTCAGAAAGTGCATCGATGATACAAAGCTGGGAGAAGTGGCTGGCAAACCAAAAGGCCGTGCTGCCATTCAGCAAGACCTGGACAAGCTGGAGAGCTGGGCAGTAACAAACCAGATGAGGTGTAATAACAAAAGCAAGTGTTGAGTCTTGCACCTGGGAAGGAATAAGCACAGGTATCAGTAGAGGTTGGGTATGACCTGCTGGAGAGGAGCTCTGCAGAGAAGGACCTGGGGGTCCTGGTGGACAACAGGTTGGCCGTGAGCCAGCAATGTGCCCTGCTGGCCAAGAAGGCCAATGGGATCCTGGGGTGCATTAAAAGGAGTGTGGCCAGCAGGTCAAGGGAGCTGATCCTCCCCTTTGCTCTGCCCTGGTTGGGACACACCTGGAGTACTGTGTCCAGTTCTGGGCTCCCCAGTACAAAAATGACAGGGATCTCCTGGAGAGACTCTAGCAGAAGGCCACAATGATGTCAAAGGGTCTGGAGCATCCCCCCTTTGAGGAAAGGCTGGGTGACCTGCGTCTGTTCAGCCTTGAGGAAAGAAAACTTGGAGGGGATCTTATTAATGTTTATAAATATTGTGTGAGAGTCAAAAGGACATGACCAACCTCTTTTCAGCAGTATGTGGGGACAGGAGATGAAGAAAAGGCCATAAACTGGAGCATATGAAGTTCTGCACCAAAATGCAAAGGAACTTCTCCACAGTGAGGATGACGGAGCACCCAAACAGGCTGCCCAGGGAGGCTGTGGATTCTCCTTCTCTGGAGATATTCCAAACCCGCTTGGATGCCCACATGTGCAGCCTGCTGCAGGGAGCCTGCACTGCATAGGGGTTGGACTCAATGAGCTCTGGAGGTCCCTTCCAGCCCTACAATACTGTAATTCTGTGATTTGGTCATAGCCTGGTGCAGAATTTTCTCTGGGGATTCCTCTCCTTCCTATCCAACAGGAATTACATCCAGAGAGGGAGGAACTGTCCCTTTTTGTAACGGTGTTGACAATATTCCTATCCCTAATGAGGGATCCCAGCTCTCTGGCGTCTCTGCACTCTAAATCCGCTCTGTTGGCTCCATGTTCCCAACACTGGAGCATCCAGGAGACAAACGGATCGCTTGGATGCAGTCGCAAATAATTTCACAAAACTTGCAGCTCAGTCAGGGATACGTTTTGGATGGTTACTGACTCTTTCATGATGCCTGCCTCTTCCTGTTGATCTCTTCCTCTACCTTGTAGATAGCTCTGCAAAGAAGTAGCCTTCCACTTCCACCTTGATAACAGGAATTTCTTCAGCAGCTAAGCAAGCCCATAATTGCATCCACTGTTCCTTTTGGGGATGAGGGCTACGGATACTGGCATGTCTTGGTACCTTGGTTCATCTGCTCCAGGGCCTGTGCTGGGAGCTGGGCTGGAAATGGGCATGGAATAGGTGTCGTGTCTAACCTGGGCTTCTCAAGGAATTAAATGAGATTTGGAGGCATTTTCCTATTTTTCAGGATTCTCTACAGCGTTGAATTGCATTCTATAGACTTCAGCAACATTTACCAGGAGCAGATCAGGTGCACAGGTCAGGAGGCCTCAGGGAGAATCCCGTGCAGGATTGAGAAGCCACAGACTGGGTTGGCTGAACTTCCTATGGCCCCAGCTGACTCCAGGAGGGAGAGGACAGTCCACAGTTCACATGCAAAAGGCAGAAAATAAGGGAAGGGGTGGG